ACTATGTAGGAGTCCAGCGACATAGCCATTACGCTAACTGCTGGTCCCATGTTCTTTTAATTTCAATTTGCTATATGGCACATGTGCTTGCTGAAGAGAGAGAGAAAGTGAGAAAGCACCCCCTGATGGGTGGCCATGCCACAATCCTTTCTCCGTCTTCTTGGGATTCTGAGCATACACACATACCCACCCACCGTGTTTTTCAAGTTACTAGGTCTGGGACTTGAACTGTGTACTTGACCCTTTGGGATTCAGCCATCCTATAATACTTTATATATTTTTGGATTTGATAGATATTTTGTCTACATTTATAAAAGCTGTCAGGGGAGTTTCCTTTTATTAGGGTGTTTTCCAAGTTGTGGAGTCCAGGACTTGAACCACAGTTTGCCATGTGAGATCTATCTTCCTTAACCACCACACCAACAGCTGGTCCTGGTTGTTTTGTTTTGTTTTCTAATTTTACTAGAGGGCATGTGCACTCATCAGAAAGAGAGAGAGAAAGAACAAGGGAAAGGAGAAAGTTCCCTCTATCAGGCATTGTCCTGCCACAATCCCTTCTCTCCTCCATTCCTCCCTCCTTTTAGGATTTTGGGCAGGAACTAGCAGATGGTGTAATTATTATATCACTGGACTCCCATGTAGTCAATCACGGTTTGAGTCCTGGACCCAGCAGCTTAGAACTTACGCCAGGTGCATATATGTGAGTGCCCAAAATCCTGAGAGGAGAATAGAGGAGAAGGGATTGTGGTGTAGCCATCCCTCCCAGGGGGTGATTTCTTAATTTTTGTCTTTCTATTTTTCCTGCGAACACACACACCCTACACCAAAAAACAAACAAACAAACAAACAAACAAACAAAAAACTATTCAGCCACCTCCTCAGAAGAGAAGAAGCAGAAGAGGAGCCCACGACGTTTGTCATCCGAGTCCTCCAGCCGCACCACCCCAAAGTGTGTAAGATATTCGCCGGCGCCAAGCTTGCCTGCTCCCTGCTCTGATCCAAGCTGGATCCAGAGTTGTATACAGACCAATTTCTGCATCAGTGTTATCTCGACCTAAGGCAAGGACTGGAGAGGGCTCTATGGTATTTAATGGGGCCCAGAATGTGCATTTCAGTTAATCCAGAAGGGATCTTAGACCAGTGCAATCAGCAGAGACATTGATAGGGCTGCCAAATTTATTGGTGCCAGTGCTGCAACAGTAGGAGTTCTGGTTCCGGTGCTGGTATTGGAATAGACTTTGGCAGCCTTATCGTTGGTTATGCCAAAACCCCTTCGCTGAAGCAGCAACTGTTCTCCTGTGCTATCCTGGGATTTGCCTTGTCTGAAGCTATGGGTCTCTTTTGTGTAATGGTTGCTTTCTTGATTTTGTTTGCCATGTAACAGAAATTACTGCTTGAAATATTGGCATTCATATTAATTAAGGATGTAATTCTGTGTATCTTACTGTGTTGGTGTCACAGAAATGTTTGTTATTTCCAAAGTCATTTAATTAAAGTTAAAAACTTAAAAAAAAAATTAAAGAAACTATCTTTAAAAAAAAAAAAAGGACTTTGGGCACACACACACACACACCCACCCACCATGTTTTTCAAGTTGCTAGGTCTGGTACTCTAACTGTGTAGTTGGCCCTTGGGGATCCAACCATCTTAATTCCTAGGCCATTGGCTGGCCCCTATAATACTTTTTATATATTTTTAGATTTGATAGATATTTTGTTTACATTTACAAGAGCTATCAGGGGAGCAGTTTCCTTTTTTTATAATGGCTTTGGTTTGAGTATGAGGGTAACTTTGGTTCAGTACATGTGCTAGGGGTTCATATTTTTCTGGAAGAGTATTTGTGTTAATTCTTTTTTTTTTCTTTAAAGAGTTATTTGGTTTTTGGTTTTTAAATTTTATTTATTATTATTTCTTAAATTTGACCAGAGAGAGAGAAAAAATGAGAAAGCAAGCTGCCAGGTCCAGGACTAGGAACTGTGGTTGGCCATGTGGGAGCCCAGTGCCTTAACCACCACACCACCTGCCAGCTCTCCTGTTAACCTTTTATTTCAGTTTTTGTTTTATTTTTAAAGGTTTTTGTCATAGGGCACATAATGCTAACTGGAGAGAGACAGAAGGAAAGGGACAAATCAACCCCCAGAGGGCTGACCATGCTGCAATCCCTTCTCCATTCTCCTCTCAGAATGTTGGACATGCATGCACACACACCTAGCATGATTTTCTGATTTCCTTTGTTTTTAAAAGTAATTATTTATTTAATTTTATTAATTATTATTATTTTCTAATTTGACAAGACAGAGAGGGAAAGTGAGAAAGCTAACCACCTGGTCTATGATTTGAACCATGGTCAGCTATGTGCAAGTCCAGTGCCTTAACTACCACGCAACCTGCCAGCCCCCACAGCATGATTTCCTTTTTTTTTTTTTTTAGAGATTTTTGCTATAGGGTGTGTGTGCTCGCAAGAGAGACAGAAAGCAAGAAACTACCCCCTGGGGAGAAGGGCATGCTGCAGTCCCTTCTCCTCTCGGGATTTTGGACACATACATGCACCCATCATGAGCCCAGTGTGGCTTTCAAGCTGCCAAGTCCTGAACTCAAACTGTGGTTGGTTATGTGGGAATCCAGTGCTTTACCCACCATGCCACCCGTGGCCCCACCCTTTTATTTTCTTCCAGTTTTTGCTATAGTACATGTGCACTCACCAGAGGTAGACAGAGAAAGAGAAAGAAAGTAAGAAATCTCCCTCTAGGGGGGATAACCTTGCTCAGTCCCTTCTCTTCTATTCTATTCTTGAGATTTTGGACGTGCATGCACACATACCTGGTGTTTTTTCCAAACCACCTACTCCTGGACTCAAATCATAAAGATGTGAGTTCCATGTGAGTTCCACCTGTCTTAACCATTGCGGTACCAACTGGCCCTAGATGTACCCTCTTAACAGATCTTTAAATGTACAGAGAAGGTTCATTTTCTTTTCTTTTCATTAAGAACTATTTTATTTAACTTTATTTATTTTAATTTGAGCAGAAAGGGACAGAGTGAGAGAGAGAGGGAGAAAGTGAGAAAGCAAACCACTAGGTACAGGACTGAAACCACAGTCAGGCATGTGGGAGTCCAGCATTCCTTGACCACAATATCACATATCTATCTCTCTCTCTCTCTCTATTTATTTTAATTTGACCAGTATTTTTTTTTT